TTGAACTGAGTAAGATTTAAATCCGGAAGTCCCAAGTACAGTTTTCGTCCCAGACATTGCTTCATTATCCACTCAAATATGCAAATTATGATGAATATACATATGCAAACTATAATACAATAGTCAAAATAAATCAGATTCAACGCCTCTAGAAAAATCAAGGGCCAACTTTTTGTAAAGCACCATGTCAGTAAACTCCCTCTGTTGCTTCATTGACTGAATTATCAGCTTTTGAAATTGGGACAATTATTTAGAGCTACAGAAGCTTCATACCTTTAAGAGCAGTTTTACATATAAGAGCAGTTATACATCAAAATCTCTGAAGGCGCAATGCAATTGACTCCGAATCTTATTCGAGGGTGCTTCTGGATCGAAGATAGGAGCAAGTAGAATCAACTGGAAGACGAATTCAAGAGAAGAGAGTAAAAGAGAGCGGAGAGAAGCACGGACCATCGGCATAAATTCGCAGAGGTTGAGAACAACAGGGGGAGGGATTTTTGTCTTATGTAGGAGTTTCAGTTTGGGAAGGAAGACGGAGAAAAGGACATCGTTATTACTTCTTATTTTTATTTTTGATAGCTAGGGTTTTTTTTCTCCCAAATTTCTTAATAATTATTAGTGGAAAACTGAAATTATGAGTTTTCGTTTTTACCCCTAATAAGTCGCTGACGCCATATCTACCCCATCCGACGGACGAAATCGCTTCCACGGTAATCCTTGAATATTTCTTGGGCATTATTTCTTGCCTACTGTGCCTTTTATAAGGATTAATTATCTCGGGAATGTTCATCGATAAACATACTCACCATCTTTAATATCATACTCCTTTCACCTGAAATAATTGTCCGACTTATAATTTTATTTTTAATATAATTCAAATCAAAACTTAAAATCCAAACCGGAAAATTATTTCGGAAAGGACGGAGTATATAAATTTCTTGTTTCATGTTCATTTCATAATTAGATATAGATGACATTTCATAATTGCATTCTCATATTCAGATAAATGAATGAATAAGCTGGATAAATCACTGACACATTCTTATCACTTATAAGAGTTTTAGTTGAATTTTAAACAGTTAACTTCATAATCATGTGCAAAAGCAAAGGCAAAACATATATACAATAACTAATGCTAGCGTTTGTTATAAGAACACTTACACAGGGAGAACGTAAATAAAACTGTAATGTGGCAGACACATAAAACAGCGATGAATTATTCTTCCGGTGCTACATTTGTTTAATGATAATTTTCTGATTTCAAAAATGTGGAGAGAGACGATTTGGACATCGATCAGCTCATGACTAAGATGCTGATGGCTTCATTATCAAATCCTGCACTGACAACCCTAGCAAAACAAAGAAACTAACCGAAGGATACGTGGTTAAAGGCCATGGAAGTAGATACTCGAGGCAGAAAATATAGCAAGGGATTGTAGGAAGATCAAAACACGGAACAATGGATTTGATCTTCTAATCATACTAGCTTATTGAACAGGCACAACAGTATTCATAACCAATCAATCTTCTTCTCTGCTCCAAAGATGGGCGGGTAAAAAAATCAATGTCGAACAATATAAGAGAAAATGGTCAGATCAATGTTGAACAACGTAATAAGAGAACTATGAGAAGAAAAGAATAAGTAGTTTGAAGAATAGAGAAAGTAAAATGCAACGACGATATTCCTACTGCAAATGGTTCATTTATACTATTTTGTTAGCTCCTGACCTTAGGTTTAAATCCGAACTGTTGGGAGTTGATGAATAGTAACTATAGTAGTTGGAGAGTTAGGGTCAAATAATTATAGCATCTCTTAAATGCTACTCGGTTGGTCGAAGTTAAATACCGTAGTTTAGTTTTTCTTTTTTTATTTAACTGACTTAGTATTTTTCGGGTAGACAAAAGTTGATTAGATTGTGAAAATTGTATTGAAGCATCTTGAACATAAGATAATACTCGTTTGTAATTCACTGAATACCATCTCGTCGTCTTTACCATTATTGTAAACTCAACTTAGAGATATATAATGTCAATCGAAAGTAAAAAACTAATTAAAGCAGCTGATTTGTGTAATTCATTTTTAGATTAGGATTTGCGAGGGATAATTATCCACTAGCTATATAAAAAGAGAGTTTTGTTGGCATTATTTAATTATCTGGTTATTGATTTGTGAGAGGTAACTGTCCCAAACATAAAAGACAAAAATAATAATAGTACTAATCAGATTCATATATAGTTGGAACAAAAGGAAAATATATGTTGCTACAATATGAGTATAACACCCAAAAGTTGATGGGCAGCGTACGCGTTTCTGTCTCCGTCTTTATAATGATTAAAGAATCCCAATCCAACATTGGCGTTGAGAGATTCTGAGTATCAATATATAAGATCTATGAACTACTCTCTTTATTACCAATTGGTTTTGGATGGAATCCCATATGCTTATATAATAATCACTGCTTAATTGGTTAACGACCGTGTCTTGGATTGCGCCGGGAAACAACGGCAATATTGTATTCTAACCACTATATTATAGCAAAAGCTGGATCGTCAAACCACTTCAATTCTCCTAAACTAGAAGTGGCTAAGGATGCCATAAAATCTACCAAAAAATGTGCTTCAAATTTCCTACTAAAATTTAATTTATTACGTACTAGTTTTTCTATATTTAAACAAATTGCCACCACACCATTATACGTAGTTAGTATAAACTGAAACTGGAAGTAATAGAGTCCATTTACGATCAACAAAACATATAAACTTTGGTTCAACAAAATGCTCCATTTCTTTCTAAAAAAATAATTTACTTTATGATACTAGTTATTTCAATTTACTTAACAAAATAAACTATTTTCTAAGGTGAAAGGAGTAGAGCCTAAACTTCAAATGTTCATTAAAGTTCTGAAGTTGACATAGTCTCTTAATAATTCCGTTTATCACTTTGATGCACAACGTTGTCAAATTATATAAGTTTTTTTTGGCTCCAATCTCAAAACCAATTGACAATGAGTTGGATGACCTTTGACACTTATATACAGAGTCAATTCTCTTCACGGTGACGATGTGGGACAGATTATACACTTTAATACTCTCCCTCAAGTTCAATGAGTCTTTGAATTTGTCCAATGAATTTGGATTGGGACAAGAACATAATAGCCCACGAGTCAACGCTCAAGTGGGAGAAAATCAGTTATACTGTTTAATCGACTCATAACAAGCTCACGAGTCAACGCTCAAGTGGGAGAAAAATTAGTTATACTGCTGGATTGGTCCATAACAAGCCCATAAATCAATGCTCAACTCCACCACAGGCCCATCACGCTCTAGGTAATGAGTCATCACAATTTGACCTTGTTAATATTTCCACTATCATCAATTGGACAACATTTCAATAAAAGAAAAGGGAAAAAGAGAAAAGAAACGAAAACTTCTTCCTTATAAACAGATTTGACATACTATATATTGTAAATAAATTGTCTACGCTAAAAGGTTTTCTGTCAAACATCATCATTTTGATTACAGAAAAGTTATTTTTCATTAAAACCTCAGTACCTATCATCTTCATTATTTTCCTCCATTCGCTCCTCATGGATACGTTGGCTTGGAGTTGCACATATAATAATATGTTCCATTTGCTGGCCTGACTCGCGGGATTCTCCATCGGCCGATTGTTGTTTGATTGGCACAACGATTGAACCCTAAGGCTTCGAACACAATTCAGGTTTGGTCCGAGCGTAACAACATTTTATGGGAGCACATAGAAGTGATGTGCAAACAAAATAGCAAGGAATTGTAGTAAGTTTGTAAGAAACATTGAACAATTCAATATGCCTATCAAATGTGGCAGTCCATGAGCAGTTATTTAAAAAGATGCGAACCACGTTGACGGGAAAAATGATAGTTGTCCTCCATCGCGTTACTGTAGTTTTTGTCTATGCCAAGTGTATTATTAATTATGTGATTCCCGATGAGGTTTACTTTAAAAAATATTAGTTTTAACTGATATTTAAAACACCGTTATAGGATGATAATTTCTCAATTGTACCGGATAAGTTTTAGACACTGCTTTCAAAATATTTCGCTTTTTTAAGGAATTATCCGGGTACATCCTGGTTTTTTTTAAACAAAGGTGACAATAAAGTTAGGAAAAAAACATGTAGAGTTATCACTTTGTTAATGACGGCCGATTATATAATCTGTTAACAGCCTAGGATTATCGATCCTTTCAAAGGGTTAGGGTAAAATATGGAAAAATTATATATATATATATACATATATATATATATATATTATTCCACCCAAACATAGTTATCTCATTTTAAATAATTTTCTTCATCATCCCACATTATTCTTACATCCTTTCACCTATTCCAACTAATGATCTGAAAGTGAAGGAAAAAATAAAACATAACCCCCCTGTAACATGAGTAATGTCTTTCGATCAATGGGAGAGTAAAATTAATATTTTTTTTCCCGAGAGAGATTTGTGGTAACTTTTAAGCGGAAAGAAAATTATATTTTCTACAATATAGATTAAGTTAAAATTTTGAATTGCTATTAATTTTGGAATCTAAAATTATCTTGATATTATTATCTTATCTCTAAATAAAAAACCAACAAATTAAAATATAACTCAATACATCGTAAAGTTATAAATGTAATGGTTTTACTAATACATTTTAATTGTTTAATGAATGTCCAATCATTAAGTGATAGTGTTATTGGAATCAATTGGAGGGCAATTGGATGACATGTCATTACTTCATCCTATTTCCTTGAATGTATATATAGGATTAGGAAAAAATTTAAATAACAATGTTCAAGTGATCAAGTCTAATCAACACAGCCCTCTGTCGGGAAAAAAAAATAGTACTCATTGAGATTTAAAATTTGAACTAAATTAAATACATATTTGAAACTCAATATAGACTATTTTTTTAGGACGAGATTAATCTATATTACATATCCACCACAATCTTAGTTAAGGAGTCATCACATAGAGAACCTTGTTATTATTTTCGTTGTGTTAAATTGGATAGGATTCCATCAAGTTTCAATCAAGCCAAGTGTCTTCGAAAAAAAGAAAACTAGTAGTACTTTTTTATACATAGATTTTGCAACCTTCATAAATTGATTATTTATCAGCGAACTATGCTTCCCAAAATGACTAAATTAATTAAATTAAAAATTTCTTCTATCAAACATTATCATTTTTTCTTGATTAAAACATCATTTCCGCTAACCTCACTTTTTATCTCATCATACATATTACTTCCTCTCTGAGTGATCGCTACTCCAACGAGGCTAATGGATACGCTGGCTTCACGGGGATCTTGTAACAGTATCTTCCACCTGCCGGCCAGACTAGAGCGACACATCCACCGGGGAAAACGCTGAGAAGATGACAGCTCTCTCTGATTCCATGTACAGTGACACAGAGAAGGTAACAGCAACTGCATAGCGAGGTATTCTAGAAAGCTTGTAAAACCATTGTACAACTTTTGTGCAAACAGCATAGCAGGATATTCTAGAAAGCTTGTAAAAATATTGTACAACTGGCTCAAACCAATATCGATCTAGTTTCCAATCTCCAATCTCGGGTTCAGTAACATTCTCAGTTGATCTCCGGCCTGTAAGTTGACAGAGACAGCTAGTTGAGATCCAATCTTCTACGCAAACTCTCCTTTGTCACTACAATTTGAATATGCACTATAGACTTGATACTCTTAGACTCTAAGTGAGTTATACTCTATGTTCATAGCTGAGAAATCAGAATTGGAAAATCAATACTCTCGATACCAAAAAAAGGGAAATTTTGAGAAGGAAAAGAAGCATTACTTCAAACACAGCTTAAAATGCAATGGCTTTCCTTCGGCCTAACATCGTCATTATAGCGTGGTAACCAAAGGACTCATAATTGATCTTTTAATGATACGAATAGTAAATGAGTGATAATTTCGGTTAGTTGTTTGGTTGATGTTGGAGTTATGATTATTCAATGCTACTAAATGAGTGATGATATACACGGAAAAATTTAATGACGATATTTATTATAAAGAATAATGCGCCTGAATCTTAAATATATTCTTTATTAAATGGATAAATTAAATCCCCAAAAGGTAAATATTAACATTCATCGTTCCTTCCTAAATAATGTTTATGCATTATCAATTTCATAATTAAGTTTTGACATCAGGGTCATTTGATTTGAGTGCAAGTTCATCAAGTCTTAGAATAAGACGACCATCTTGTTTGTCGAGTAGAGATCAGGCATGACTCGAAAATTAGTTAGTCTTCCACAGCAAAATCATTTCTAAAAGAGCACTCCTTATGTCCAATTTTAAATGTTCTGGTCGACGTAATTTTAAGCTTAACAACGAGACCATGCGAATACCTTTTTCTTCCCGTAACTAATCAAACAGGTCTCACTTTCTCCACCATTTTTGCTACTTACTAGGGGATGAACCTTTTGTACTCAAACAAACTGAGTGTCATTATAGCCTGAGATAATAATTTTATTTATGTGTTTACAGTTACCCCTTTCCCTACTAATTTTTTACTGAACTGTTAGTGGCACGGTAATGCAACATTTTTGTCACAAGATTTGAGCGCTTAATATCAACCTTAAGAATATGCTAGTCGCATCATTGAAAGTCTAACTTTTTTTTCCCCCAAAAAAATATATACTTTGATAAAAGTATAAATTTATTCGAAAACAGCTAAATTAAGGTGTGCTCTTAATGTTCCAAATTTTTTCAATATTTTTTGTGGTAACAATTTCAACACTAAAAAAATTCATATTGAAAACAAGAAAGCATATTTGTTAACAAACTTACAGCTCTCAAAAGTTCAAATAAAAAAAAAAAATCCTGACTAACTATTCCAAACTAAGTAAAAACTAAATGTTTTCTTGCAAAGATTATCAATTTATCATTTTGATTGGTAAATTGCCATATCTGTTAGTCTTGCCTTCATTTCATCCGATAAGTGAACTCGGTGGGAGATTCAGCTAAAAAAAAAAAAAGTCCAGGACGGTAGACTCATGGGATCATAGCCCGTTATTGAGATAAATCTTCTCAGAAAAAGTTAGCTAGGAATTCTAGGAAACTTATACCACTGAACAACGAACGAAGATCTCTAGTTGCTATTTCAGTAACCATCTGAGCTCAATCTGATCTGTTCACACTTTGTCTGTTGAAAAAAGATCATATTTTGCACAACAAATTGTAGCAAAAATGAGAAGACTGATGAGATGAAGTAAAAGAACCAAAAATCGTTCATTATAGGGAACTTATTTTTAAATGTCTATTGACCCAGGAGGAGTAAATATATAAGATTGTTGTCTGTTGGGACAGTTGTTTGGTAACGGTGAAGTAAATTTTTACCGTCAAAATAATCCATTTCAATTTAGAAGTGAGAATGGCATATTTAAATAAATGCATCGACAAATAGGACATAAATAAACAATGCGATTTGATTTTTTGAAATAGTGTCCTAATTGCACTCTAAGAGATGAGCATATTTGGTTAATTAGTCATATATATGGGTATTGCCTTTCAGTTGAAGAGACAACTAGATCGAGCGAATTGTGTGCATAATATATTTATTTATGGTACATAAGTTATTTTCTCTTTTTAAATTTTTAGTTCTCATTTTAACACAATAAATATACAATTTTCGGAGATTGAATAAAAATATAGTGATTTTAATGCGGTGTTCCAGTAGTAAAGCCGGGTTCAATTCACACTGTAAGGTTGTAAGTGGGGTTTTACCCACATTTAATCGGGTTTCATTTGGAATTGATTTTTTAATTAAAAAACAAAATTCCTTCTGTTCGAAAAAACTGGTCAATTTTTTATTTTCATTTATTACATCAATTGTATTAGAAATGAAAAAATCAAAATTAGACAATCATTTAGGGGTGGAGGGAATACTTGTGATGGGGGGTCAAGCCAACAAACAATTTAACCTACTTTCAAACTAGTAGTATAGGAAAGCAAGGTCGTCCCCTCAGGGAATAGTGGATTTGTTTCTTTCAAATAAGTAACCGAAAGGGGAGTTTTGAGTTTTTAAAACTAAAATATAGTTAAAATAAAATTCAAATGATAGTTAAAAAAAATGAAAGCAAATTATGAGAAAGTTTCTAGTCAAAAGATTTTATATCCATCTTGGTCTGAACAATTGATCATAAATGCAATGATGCTCAATCACTTATAGGCAAATTAGTTTCGTTGTTGGAACCTCCTAACAACTCAATCTTGAACTAAGTTTAGTGATTAAGAAAACCTTCATTAAACACACTAGTCGAAATTCAATCCTGGAACCTCCTAAGATTAAGAAAACGACTACATTAAGTACAAAGATCCAATTCTGGTCCCTATGAAACAAACCTTGTTTAATAAAAAACCAGATTACTTGTTCTTATAACATAACAAAATCACTTACCAAGTAATTTAATTATATTAGTCCCTTTTAAAACAACAAACCTTGCTGCCTTACTGGTTGTTAACTAACATGAAATAATGAATGCTACCAGCTATTCATGAATCCACAATAATCATATCAATCATGCAATAGAACAAGCAAATACTTACAAGAAATTGAGAGAGAAACAACATTTAGATCTCACAACTATTCAAACCAAGGCTTCAATATCTTTCAACTAGAAAAATAATTTAATTACACATAATAAAGCCTTACTGAAACAAAACTATAGACAATGGGGAAGAATAACGCCCAAAAAGACTAAATTGGCGGCTTAGGACCACTCCAGCCTCCTCTTCTTCTTATCACGTTCAGCCCCTCTCCTCCACAAAACAATAAAATCAGTTTATATGCAAAAAATTAGGTCAGCCGCCAGCAGCTTTCAGAATTTCGCAACTGCAAATTAAAATTTCCGATTTTGCATATTGGTCCCTCAAGTTTGGCAAAATTATATTTTGACCCCAAAACTTATTTACTTTTTCAGTTTAGTCCCTATTTCGGTTTGGCCGAATGGGAATGCAGCATCAATGCTGGAATTTCTTCTATAAAGCTCAATTTTGGACCGAGATTTGTGTGCCCACATGAGAATGTGATGTCATTGCTCCCTTTTGGTGCTTCCTTGTCAAAATGCTCCAAAAATGTGTGTTTATGGAACATTTTTCTCCATCTTAGTTCCAATCACTCCTAAGAACCAAAAATATCAAAATACACAACATAAGTGCACAATCTAATCCAAAATGCTATACAAATACCCATAAATAACATGAAACTTCAAGACCTATCAACTTGTTATAGAAAAACTGTTTGTAGCTAAAACTATATGATTTATGGACTACATATCATTTCATTCTACAATAGTAATTTATTTTGTTATATTGGTTTAGTTTAGAAAGGGACACATTTACTGGTTAAAATTACCTTCTAATTAAGCACCCAACGATTCATGAGTGATATTTTCCCCTTACTCTTAAAACGTATATAGTATATGCATTTTCTTGTCTAATGCAAGATTGTGCCTTCTGAATAATGCTAGATAACACAAAAAAAAATAGGTTGATCACAAGTCTTCAATGAAGCGGCATAAGAATTACGTATATTTGAATTTGAACTCATGAAATCATTACTTAAGTATCCGTAAGTGAACCAAAAGAGAAGAATGAAATAAAGGAGATCAATTAGATGAAAATGAAAAACAAAATACAAAAGGAAAAACAAAAACCCACTCGGATCTTGCAATGGTTGAGAATGATTAATTAAATGGCCGTACGAATTGAAGTATCAAAATCTTAATCCCGTTTCCTCTTCAGCCAGACCTCAAATTAATCATGCAATTACAACAAGAGAGGGAAATTAGGCAGTAGCAAAGAGAAGAGTTTGGTACTCTTCTTTGTGGTGTTTATTGTTTGCACTTTCTCGTAATTTTTGTTTGCTAACCGACGTGTTATTAATATGGTACGTTTTGAGGTGGTTGATTCCTTTGTGGTTGGAGTTATAACGAAGCAAGCTCAAAGCGACGTACTAAGTGCAATAAACCAATGATCGAAGTACTATGTATAAATGTCATTTGTTTCGCCGATATCCTTAGTACTGTAAGAGCGTGAGGTGGAAGGTCAGACATAGTCTTACCAAAATAGCAAGGAATTGTGGATAGCTCAAAGGGATGAACCCTGGCCTCAAACACATATCCGGTACTGTCAATCTCCAATCTGGAATTCAGCAACGTCCATCTCAACAGGGTCTGATCTGATCGTATTTGACTTTGTTTCAGTTGCCAAAAAGTTGTTAGTCTTCATTTATGGGTGCGGAACTCAGATTCCGAAAACCATCTTCATGATTTGCAATAATACAAAAGGATCAGAATGTGAAAAAATAATGGGAACAAGGAGAAAACCACCGATGACAAGAACAAGAAGTTCTAGAATTGAAAACAACAAATGAAAGTAACCTGCGAATGATATCACCAAAATCGTTCTATATAGATGGTAAGGAAAGAATTACAAAAGGGCCGTAATTAATCCTTTGCTGCTGGAAGAGTAAATACGGTACGTTTGGGGTAGTTGATTCGCTGGGTTGTTGGAGTTATAATAACGAACTTAAAAGCTACTAATAAATGCAACACCAAATGTACTACTCTGCTAGATATATATTTTTATTTTTGAGTGAAAATAGATCATCCTAGATAGCCTCCTTTTTGAATGTGAATTACTGTATCACAAAAACAATCTCCAAGCGATGATGCCAGTTGACGAATTTAATTTTTATTTATATCGACCAAGAAGACATTATAACTTAAATAAAGGTTTCTTCTGTTCCAAAATTATTGTCTTGTTTGTAATTTTATTTTAGTAAAAATTAAATTAAAAATTAAAATTCAAATTAAATTATAATTTTAGGACAGGAAGTAAAAAAATATTGTGGGATATGTTACCTAGACAGCCACTTTTGTGTTTGCGTATGTAGCTTGCCATTTGCATAAAAGGTGATAAATTAATGTCAATTATTTATCCATATTTATTCATTAGAATACTGCAGTTAATTTGGTCTACATGAAGATTATACAAAATTGCCCCATCACAAATACTGTATACTGCAGAGGCGGATTTACATACATGTCATTGCCCCAGCTCAAAATTTCGTAAGTACCCCTAGGGTAGTACTAAATTACAAAAACATTAAAACTTTGCCCCAGTAATAATTTGTAAGTTGGGGGCAAAGAAGAAAGTTGATAATTACAAAAACTACTACAAATATCTTATTAAGAAAAAGAAACTAAAAGGTAGTGATTGTTTACTTTAGCTTAGTTAAATTAGTAATGTTTTATATCAATTAGAAAAACGAGAAACCTCACGTCTCTTTTCCCATCCAAACTCAAAATTTGTCATGTTCTTCATCGACTCTTGCCTTTTCTCCTAGGGTTTAGAACTCAATTGTTTTTAGTGATTGGAATGTGGAAGCAAATAATTAAAGACCGGAGAGCGGACGTTTAGTAAGCTTTATTGTGTATGTAATTTTTTTTTGAAGTTCTCTTTTTATTCATTTGTTCGTGGATTATGTAGTTTTTGTAATTAATTAGAAACTCTATTAATTTTGTCTTCCTTTAAAGAATAATTTTTTTTTGAGTTAGATTTATGTAGATTGTAGGGTTTATGTATATATTGAATACTGATATGTCATAGTCAAGTGAAAAAATGCTCATATTTTTTATTAATTTCCGGTTCTTTTTATATATGCCCAATTTATATTTTATTTGTCTATTGGCTATTGACTCTAGCACCTATTCGTTTTGAGATTAGAATTGAATTAATGTGCTAGATCAAGTACTTGAGTGCCTACTGCCTATATCAGTTGTTTGGTAAATTCTTTTTTTTTTTTTTCACATTGCCATTTTATTTCTTTGTATTTGAGTGCACTTGTTTTGTCTGTGGTCACTACCACTGTTGAAAGATAATTTTATGCTATGAAGATTGTGATAAACCTACTTCAAAATCGATGGCAAATTGATAAATGAATGATTGTCTACACTATAACAAAAATGAGTAATTTAGACACTTTTTTGTGTCTCAATAAGTGGTGTAATAGGTCACATGTGATTCACATTGCGTGGGACACTACTCAATAGTGTCTCCTATAATCGAGTCACAATAAGTCATAAAACATTTGAAAATGTATTATTAGATTGTCACTTATTAAGACACTTTAAAGTGACACATTAAATAGAGTAATAGTCCACAAGCAACCCCACATAGTACACTTATGATAGTGTTTCATAATATGCATACACTTTTTCATTTTTAATAAGACACTTTTTAGCAAATGTCCCCATACACATATAATGAGACACATTTTAGAAAAAGTGTCCCACTATAAAGATATTAATAGCCTATTTTTGTTGTAGTACTAGTTACATATATCGAAAAGTATCTCTTTGATATTATTGACGATGAACTTGTTTTACAACGTTCTCAGAAAATGAATATACGTAAAGAAATTTTGTAATATTTTGTTAAGATTTACATTTTGATAATTTTTTAACAAATTAAATATCTTTATGTGTAAATTTTTTTGCCCCACCTGTTGCAAGGGGCTTGGCTCCGCCCCTGGTATATTGGCCATGCGTGCTCCCATAAAAACCAAGAACAGGAGAAATTCTTTTGTCCGTTGTGATTTTTCTCTCAAAGCAAAGCCATGCGTGCTCCCATAAAAACCATGAACACCAGAAATTCTTTTGTGCTATGAGATTTTTCTCTAAGCAAAACTTCTTAATTGATCCTCAAATATACTCTAAGCTGAATTTAACCTTCATAAGAGATTCAATTCCTTTTTGCCCAAAAATGAAACATATCGCCTAAAACCTCAAATTGTTGATCCTTGTTTTGATCATCATTTAGAAAAAAAAAATTGTTAATGGTTGAAAAAATTTCTCTCCATGCAACATAAATTATGGCTTGTTACAGCAGATTTCTACTAACAATTGCCCCTAATTTTAGTAGAAATTAAACTGTTTTTGCGTCTTTTGTGCCAATTGATAGCGTCATGAATCTTTGATTCTTTCCGTTTACAGAAAGTTCGTTCTTCAGATATATGAAAACTACTAGTAATAATAACCCTCATTTCTATTGATTACCATGGAATAAGATGCAAGTACATAATTTGGTCTGGCTGATGATTTGGGACAGTGGAGAGGTTTAAGAAAGAGAGATTATTATCAATGGAATGGTGATTAGTGCTAAATTAAAAATGAGATCTTTTAGAGTCCTAAATTGTGAAATATAGCCCCCCCGCCTTCATCAATTTCGGATTTTAGTTTTTTTTTTTTTTTTCCCTAAGAGAACAATTACCAATTCTTTAGCTTTCTCTCTTCAGGACAGAACTCCTTTCCGTTATCTTGTCGGAACACTTTTCCGTTGGTTAAAGAAGCAGCGAGAACTGGGATGGGCTGTCAAATGATGGAGATGGAGATCATTCTCCTCCTTCGTACGAAAAGTCATGCCAGGGAAAGCCACACAGCGAGCCTTGAATGTAACCAGAATCGGTGGTGCCGATCAGTTTGAACAACAGACTTAGACCCACAAAAATAGCAAGGAATTGTAGAAAGCTCAAAAAACGTGAACACTGGACTCATACACAGATGACAGATCCAGTGTCAAATCTCCGATCTCGAATTCAGCAACGTCCATCTCAACTGGGTATGATCTCATCAAAACCGCTTTTAGACAAAGTCACAAAAAAAAAAAAAAAAGGGTTAATGGGTTCCAATGATGGGGGCGGAAATTAGAGTCTGAAAACCATCTTCAATGGAGTTAATAGGAAAGGATCAGGATTTTGAAAAAATTAATGGGAGCAAGGAGAAAATAAACCACCGATGGGAAGAACAAGAAGTACTAGTATTAAAAACAATAGATGAAGAAAGATGCAAAAATGAAATATCCTTACGACAGCTACTACCAAAATTGTTCATTATATATTGTTGGCAAGGAAAGAGATTGTAATTTGTAAAGGACCATGATTAATGTTTGCTGCTCTCGGAAGAGTAAATATGGTACTACGTTTGGTGCAGTTGATTAGGTTGTTGGAGTTTTAAATGAAGTCTCTTTGAAAAAAACCCTCCAAGTGCGACACTAAATGTACTGTTACGCATTAATATTTTGAATGAAGTAGGCCAGCCTCCTCTTTGGTGCTGAATTTCTGTTTCAGAAAAAGAAAATATACAAGTGATGATGCCAGTTAGTTGACGAAATTTATTTTATTTTTATCAAACTAGAGACCCTAGAACACACTACAATTAATCTCAAATTACGTGTTTACGTTGAAGATGATCTTTTAATGCCCATTATTAGCATTAAAATATCATAATTTTGTATATATATCGTGATTAATCTTTATAATTAATTTAAAAATTGAATGAATTAGTGATAGTTTAAGTATTTAACAGATTGAATTAATTTATCAATCTGGTAATGAATTAGCCTAGATTACTTTACAAGTTGGTGGTGTCAAAATTTCTTCATCACCAAGATTGTCCATGCGGGATCCCATCAAAACCATGGACAAGAGAGATTTCTTGATACTTTGTCATGTTTTTTTTTTTTTTTTGATACTTTAAGATTATATATATATATACTTAAAATAATTATTATAAATAATAAAGAAAAAATAGGGTAACGAATATACTAAACACTATATAAGTACAATTTGAAACTTATAGAAAATTTGCATCCTTATTTACTTTAGACGATCGACGGACTCGAACGTTTGATTTAGCCTTACTTTTTTTTAGAGCGATTATGATACGTCAAAGCAAAAATTTCACTGTAGAAAGACTCTCGTTCCAGTTCCCGTTCTGTGTCAAATTCTTCAACTTCTGAATCCTTATAGATTTGATTTTGTTCACCCTCGGAATTAATGTGATCGATTGAGAAGCTTGTTTCTGAAGACTCTATATGCTTTCCTATCTTCGTATCATCCTAGGATAAATACTGATTATAATTTTTCCCGGTGATTGGGCCTAAATTGGTAGTAAAACTCGGAGGAGGGATTTGATGGCTAGAGGGATAAGAGAATTCCTCAGCAGCGGGATTTAGTTTTTTTGTGGTGCTTTTTTGAGAGGATTTTTTGGAAAAAATCTTAATTATCAGGAGGAGAAATATTGGAAGAGTTTGGATTTGATTTTTCTTCAGTTGAAGTTGAAATATCTGGATTAGATTGAGGATTGACTGACTTCACCTTACCTTCGTTCAAAATTAAAGGATCTCGTTGATTTGCTGTTGACTGCGGAATTACCGGACTCTGTTGAACCCACGAAATCCGCAAACTCGGAGGGATTGAGTCGCGCCGGATTTCCATAGCTTCTGATGATGAAGCTGGTTCTCCGCTGGTGGCGGAAAAAATCGGAATTTTCTCCACTGCAGCATCGGCAGCAGGGGATGCCCGCAGATCATGGTCGGCAGCAGCAATCAAATTTGAAGATGATTGTTGATACTCTGTATCGCCAGCAACATATTCTTGCGCAGAATTATTAATTGCAACAGTAGCTTCAATGGGTCTCCCCGAATTTTCTTCCATCTCCTTCTGTTCAGAGATCAGGGGGAGGGCCGGGCTATCTATAATATCAACGGGGATACCGGATTTCTCCATCACTGTCAAGCGTGAGGTCGAAATCCTAAGATGTATCTCTCAAGGAACTTATTAATCCTCAGATAAGATGTAATACTAGATGTATTCAAGGAACTTATTGCTTTCATCCGAAAATAAATAAAGATCACCTAAAACCTTGTTTTGATATATATATATATATATATATGTGACATGTATAATCGCTAGAGTTAATTGCTCGCTTAGCAACATACATTAGCACATCACATAGTGATTAATTTTAGTATAAATTCAACCATTTGGTATCTTCTATGCCAATTTTAAAAGACAATATTTTTATTTTTTAGTAAAATATTTTGTATTAAAAATGAAAATTTAAACTCGACAATCATTTTGGGTAGGAGGAATATAATGGTTGTAGACCTTGGAGGAGTAATAAAAACTGTTGGTTGTTGCCTAGTTGAGACAGTTCATTGGTGGTGGTGAAGTGAATTCCTACTGTGATACAGGGATAGCAATAAATTTTAATTTTGAATCCCGTAGCAGCCCCTTATAATAAATAGGCCTACACAACTACGAAGTGATAATGTCAATAGTCATACAAAAACAACATACGCTATTCCCAATTTCGTTGACGTAGGAGATCAAGATTTAAGCAGCCTTAATTGGGTCCATATTTCAATACAGAGTTGTTATTATAAGTACAATTCAAGATGTATTAATTTTAACCAAAAAAAAAAGATGTATTATTGGATTGGAGATATTGTTCTTCACCAATTTTATTGAAATTGAGAAGCACCACAATTTAATTTAACTATTTTAATTAAGTCCACTATTAGCACAAAACTACAAGAATTAATGTCAATGATGATTGTTCCAACTTCATTTGCAATGCATAAATATTTGATGTCAATTGTGTCACGCTTCCATAACAGCTAAGCTCTACATAAGCATTCATCGGGTTTAAAAACTCGTGACATGTTTTACAGCCAGTTCTATTGATTATTCTCATATTCAAAACAAATTCTTTAGGAGTTACTATAGCTAATTACTTCCGGTAAGTCAATAATTGCCACTTATTTTAGTAGAAATTGAACCATTTCGTACTACATTTAATTACAATAATTAAAGATCCTCTTGAGTACACAAGCAGAGGTCCTGAATCTATAGGTTCTATAAATTGCACTCCTTAAAAATTGTTTAGAACTACAAATATTAATGATAATCCTTCATACAGGTCTGATATGGAAATAAGGTATACATGAGCATCGAGTGACGATCGAGTTCCGTTCTTTCATATGTAGATCTGACTTTTTCATTGCTACATTCTCATTCTCACATAAAGCAGTGAATAAATCCTTTGGTGTTTAACTATTTATGTATCATTGTTTTGGTTGAATTTAAAACAATTAAGTAACCTCACTTACAAATGCATCCACACAACAATGCTACCTACAACAAGAAAATTTTCATAGAAAACTTTAATGAAATTGTAATGTAGCCGACACATCACACACGGACAGGATAAATTCTTTGGCCATTCCCATAGTCAGTTCAGCGACAATTCCTCTAGGGAAATAATAGCATGGGGAACTGAGAGAACGGAGAACGATTCTTCATTCTATCAAAACCTCTTCAAGGGAGGAACAAAATTCAGGAACCTAGGAGAAAATCCCTCCGCAACCACTACAAGGGAGCATAAAATGCAAAAGATTTAGCGAGGAATTCTAGAAAGCTTATAACACCGAACAATGGGCTCAAACCCAGGTGACTCAGTGTCTCGAATTCAGCAGCCATCTTAGTTGGATTTGATCTGATCATACTCGTGGGTTGACAGTGGCGACTTGCTTGAAAGGCTTCAAAATATTCTTGTGGCCCGTTAGGGTTCAGATAAAATTAATCTTCTCCTCCTTCGGTAAGATTAATCTTTATTGCAGTTGAGTATTGAGTGGGTTTCTATGATGAACGGATGAACAAAAAGATCATATCATGAACAATTTGAAAGAATGATGAGAATGAAAGAATAAGTAAGAAGCAAGTTTCAAGAACAGAGAAAATAAAATGTGAAGATATTTTCCTACTACATGTGCACAATGGTTCATTTATATTCTTGTTACAAAAAAAATCCATAATCAGTATGTGCTTCCTGACCTGAGGTGTAAATGTGATACTGTTGAGGTGGATGAATAGTGGTTGGCGAGTTGGAATTATAATTATAGCATCTCTTTAATACAACTCAATTCCTCCAAGAAAAATCCTGCAACTTTTTTCGTATACTAGTACTTAAGGTAGATGATGAAAATTTAAAAGGAGTTAGGGCACTTACCTAAGAATATTAGTTGTAACCAAGCATCAAAGAATATTTTATCGTCGAGTTTGCCACTATATTGTGAATAATCATTCACGAAATTATGTCAATTGAAAAAGTAGGAAATCAAAGTAGCTCTGATCGGGTCTAATTCAACCTTAGATAGGGATTAAACTTTATAATTAAGGCGGCTGGGGTACTCTTCTCTAGTCAGCTGATTGATTCGTGAGTGATCATCCAAAACATAATGAGAAAAGAAAAAAAATATCAAGCAAAGTCAAATTCCTGGTCTTCGATTGGAGCAAAAATGATGTCGCTTGAGGATGAGGATATATCTCATCGAAAAGTTCACGCCATATCCGATTTTTTTCATTTATATCAAGATCTCTTGAAAATTATTCGGAAATTAAACAATATACCCGACGGACTGCTCCATCTTAGATGAATAAGGGTATTTTCGAATGAACGAAGTCTCGTAATACCATCACAATTTTAGTTGAGGAGCCATCATGATTTCGTCCGTTTAGTGCTTTCCATGTCAACGCAATTGAATAGGATTCCATCAAGTTCATCTTGCTTGTTTATCAGGTGTGTGGACAAATGGAAAATTTTTTTTTTTTAAAAAACTACTAGTACTTTCTTAAACATAAATTTTACAACCTTCGAATCAACAAACTAAACCGAATATATAGATTAAACTAAAACTTTTTTCTTTTCACCATTATGTCATTTTGATTGATAAAACATCGTATTCATTAACCTAACTTTTCACTAAATCGTATTAGTTTCCACTCTGCACCACCAGTGCTATTCCCAATCGACTCTCCACCGGTCAGGCATACGCCGCCTCGAGATGAAAAAACAAACAGTATCTTCCACCTTCAGGCCAGACTCGCGGGAACATCTACTTGGGAACACCACTGGTAAAGAGACTAATTCCTAACATTTCAAACATAATTCAGTTTTGGCCCGAAAGGATCAATGTACAAGTTTTGTGCAAACAACATAGTAAGAAATTCTAGAAAGCTTGTAAGAAACATGGAACAACTTACACGAACCAAGATGATCTAGTCTCCAATTCCCAATATCGGGTTTAGTAACCATCTCAGCTGATCTCATCTTACCTTCTTTCTTCAACGCTTCAAAATTTCCAGTCCTAATCTTCTACGTATACTCCCTTAGACACTTTCGATGTGTTTTGTTTATAGACTATAGTGAGAAAATAGAGTTGAAAATCAATATTGGGAAAGTATCAGAAGAACAAAATGTATTGTGAAACAGAGAAATAATTTTACTGCAATGGCCTCCTTTATGATAGAATATATAATCATGGAAACCCTAATTAGGGTTTCTGATATAGTCGGCTAGAGATGTAACGTTAATGTACTATAAATACTATTTTGTATATGTAAATAACACACACGTAAATACGATTCTTTCCTGGCCTCTAGAGAATTTTACGATCCCCGCCGCTGCTTTCCCTTGTGCCTGCCGCTGCTTTCAATTATTCTCAGTTTTCAAAAAAAAAATAAAATTCAGTCCTTTTCCGTCAGTTTTGTTTGCTTCTCCGCCGTCCTTCACAGATTTTCTTTTCTATTTTCCAATCTGTCCGGCTTCTTCTGAGTTGTCGACTCGTTCCCGGCTTCTTCGTGATCAGAAACAGCTTACTGGTCACGGCTTTTCTGGTTTTGGGTTTCCTCTTCAAAATTTCTGGTTCCCGGGTTCTTCTGTCCTTAGGTTTCGATCATCGTCCACCTTCTTGGTCAACCGGCTCTCTAGTCAGCTGCTTTCTAGATAGATTTGTTCCAGTCATTTGTCTTCTTCTCTTCGGTTTTCTTTCACAAAAAAAAAAAAAACAACTCTTCTCGCCGCCACTTGCTACTTTCGCTTACCAATCACGAATCTGCTGTCTTGGGTTTCTTAATCCAACATCTATTTCAATGGCCAACTCCGCCGACTCCGCTGACTCACAGCAGACCCCAGAAACCCCGCAAACAAACTCAACTTCCATCGGCCTTCCTCCTTCTTCACCAGCCACTTCTCATCCGGCCATCGGCCTCTCTAATATCAAAAATTACATCACCCCTATCCTTGATTTCACAAACTACATGCTGTGGAAGGAGCTCTTCCTTCCCGTCTTCCGTGGCCACACTATCATGGATCACAAACTATATGCTGTGGAAGGTCCCTGATTCTTGGCTCACCATTGAGAAGCTCTTTCACGAACAAATCGGTTCCGGCTTCTTGAATTAAAGTTGCAATTCCATAGTGTCAAAAAAGGTGACCTAACCATCAATGATTACGCCACAAAACTCAAGTCCTATGCTGATTCCTTGACCACCGTTGGGTGTCCAATCTCCGACACTGACTTAGTTCTCCAAATTCTCGCTGGTTTACCCTCTGAGTATCAATCTCTTTCCACAACTATCAGCCATAAGGATCCTCTTCCTACCTTTGTTGAGGGTCGCTCAATTTTCTTACATGAAGTGCAGCTTCAGAACGCCGCTCCCTCTTCCCTCTCCGCGGTGACTACGGATTTGGTCGCGGCTACTACTTCTGCAACTCTACAACAGCGGCCTTCAGCACCTCTTTCGCAAGCTCCCTCTACTCGTGGACGGGGCAGAGGTCGCGGTTATCAGATTATCGAGGTCGTGGTCGCGGTCGTGGCCGAAACTAATTTTTTGGTCAGTCTCCTTCTCAGTTTTATCCTCCATTTTCTTCTCATTCCAAACCCTATATCGGTTCTCTCGAGTTGTCATTGGTAATGGTCATAATTTACCTATTAAATCAGTTGGGTCAACTTCTTTTCTCTAAGTTTTGAATTCCTAGGGTTTACTATGTTCCTTCACTAACCAAAA